CGACGCGGCCGAACCGCGGCCCAGGCCCTGGCTGCTGTGGCCGTCGTGCCCAGCTGCTCCGCGCGGTCCCAGCACCGCTGCGCACCACAAGCCCCCGTGCGGTCCGCCTCCTTCTGGCCTCTCTGCCGGGCCGGGCAGCGAGCGGCCTTTTCTCTTCTCTTCTCCTCCTCCTCCTCTTCCAGCTCCTGCGCCTCCTCCCGGGGCTGCCGCCCTCCTCGCGCGCCCCGCCCACCCGGCCCAGCCAGGAGCAAGCCTGGCGGGAACGCGCACGTTGAACCCGGCGGAGACGCGCACGCTGTGTTCGCGGGCGCGCGCACGCTGACTTAGGCGGGGGACGCGCACGCCCCTCACTGACACCGAAGCGACGAGGCGGGGAGCTGAGCTTTGAGACCTGTCTGCAGGGGCTTCCCACTGGTCCCCGCGTGGCCCCTCCCCGGCAGTGCTTCCAAATCCTGTTCGATTTTAGAATCTTGTGTTCCTGGAAGGAACCCTAGACCCGTAATTTTGGAACTTAGGAAACAGGCCCAGGTAGAATGACTTGTTTACCTCCCTAAATTGTAGAAGCACCCCAGATCCTTTAACTTGGTGCAGTGCTCTTCCCGTTAGGTCATATTTAGGAGGAAACAGGGCAGTACTTGCTGACTCTTTAGTAATCGTCGCCAGAGGTCTTGCTACCGGCTAACTCAGTGTGCTTGAGTCCTGTGACTTCGTGGCCTGACCTTCGTAGTTATTCGTACCCCAGGACCAATCTCTGCCCAAGATTCAGGGGTCGTCAAGCTTTTCTGGAGCCCTAGCAGGGCAGCCCACCAAGGTCTGCTTCCATGAGGGACAGAATTCTCCACACGTACCACAGAAGTGAGGTTCTCTACATGGGAAAAGCCACTTTTGCAGGATACTTTACAAATGACTGCAAACTGAACAAATATCACATGGCCATTTCAAAGAATTGCGTCCATTACCCTGCTACTAGCACCAAGCCTTGGTCTAAGGTCAAGGGACAAGAGGGACAGTGATTCACAGTGCTAGGCGGTATGTCCCTCAACCCCTCAGCCCTACCCCAGTGTCCATCCCGTGGTTACCTGCTTGGTCCTAGTACAAGAAAACTGTGGTAAAGAGGGAATAGCTGTAATCCGGACCTTGTGGTTGAGGGCGGAGACAGGGAAACTGCTCGTTGCTACATTTTTTTAATTCCAACTGGCGTATCCCTGGGAAAGATAGATTTCCCATCCTGAAGAGAAATGACTCTCAGACCTTTAGATTTTAAAAGCCAATTTAAAAAAAAAAGCTGAAGACGGTACTTATTAGCTTTTTATTGGCCTAAGAAGGACAGTAAACATTATACCATTCGTATTAGTGTCTCATTTCATAAATAAAAGATTTTAACACCAGTTATTAAGAAGGATATAATCACAGAGTAAAGGTCAGTTCTTTAAATGAATAAATATGGCTTTTAGAAAAATTCTGTCTATTTTTCTTATTTTGTCTAATTTGTCTGCAGATGGGCCTTGGTCCTCAGTCTAGAGTTTGAGACCCACTGTCCGAAAAACTAGTCAGAGAGGATAGTGCAGAAACAGGCAGGATGGCCTAATGGGAGAAGACATGGGTGCTGGCACACTCTTGCCCTACTCTGCTCACTGTCCTGGATTGAGTCACATGATGGCTTCATTTGCCCACTTATAAGATGAAGGGGCTAGAATAGATGATCTCTAAAGCCCTTTCAAGCTTTTAAATCTCATGATTACATGATTGTACTTATTGAAATCTGGGGCTTTCCTCTTTACTAAGTCACCTAGCTGATATTTGGTCACTGCCCACACCCTCAAGCTGAGTCATTCAGGCTGTAAACCTCTCAATCTTCTTTGCTCCCTTCATCTCAATAATTTTTTCATGTCCAGGCAATCAAAATAAATAAATAAATAAATAAATAATCCTTTCTTTTTTTTCCCTAGTTACCATCTTAGGCAAATCCAGATTTGTGATTCTCGATGATTCCCACCTCAAACCTACCACCAACATAGTTCTTCCTAAGACATCCATTTTACCTTGTTATTTCTCTATTCAGATATCTACGATGGCTATCTAATGGCCATGGGTTAAAGTTCCAACTCCAGTCTTTAATTGCCCAGAGTAAATCTTTCATAGTAGTATGATTAGTTTCCTTCTTTTCTCTACCAACACTACACACAGTCCAATTCCAAGTTGTCTGCACTCACACGGTGATAGTGCCTGAATTTTCTCCCTCTTAACTATGCAACAGTAATCCCATGTCCTCCGCAACGGACTTCTGTAGCACATCTTATTTATGTTCAGCATTTTGATGTGCCACCTCATGCCATTGTTACTTGTTTCACCTCTTTCACTGTTATCTGTATGTCAGTTTACAGATTATCTCCAAACACATGGAAGCATGTTCTGCATTGCTTTTGTATCTCCCTTCAGTATCAGCTATACCACCATGTACATTGTAAATGCTCAATGAATATTTATCATTTCAAAAACAAAATGTGTACTTCTTCCATTTTATCCTTTCCTCATTTTAATTTTCTGTTTTATGTCCTGGTACCTCAGAGAACATTCTCTTGGTGACTTTGCAAGGAAATTTATCTAAAACTTCAGTGACAAGCAGAGAGGATGCCAAGGATCACCAGTTTCCTTAAATATGCTCTCTTCTCTGATATGTATGTATTTGACATTGACATCTGAAACAAAGCTATTATTTATGTGATTTAACCACCCCAAGGAGTGACAGGGAACCTGGGAGTTTCAAGTAAAAAAAGAGGAAAGAGCAGTGTTGGGTCGGACCTCAAAGAGGGGGCCTTGCATTCCTCAAATTATCTTCTGCAGGCCATTTCGTGCAGGCTTAGACAAGGCATAGCTCCTAATGTCTTTTTGTAGAGGCCATTCTCAAGTTGGAGAAGGCATAAGAACCAAAAGAATAAAATAACACCACAAATAGAAGTGCAAAGCCTCGGCACCAGATTACATTGTAAGAGCGAGAGAAGTTGTCAGAGAGTGCAAATTCAGTTGATAAAGAAAGCAAATTCAACTACTAGGCAAATTACTCTACCCTTTGTTCCATGGTAGAACAAATAGCATCAATGTTCAAGTAGGTTTTCTTTCCCAATTAGACCAGAGACCAAGACAACAGATAAATCAGGACTAAAGTTTAAGTCATTGCTAATTAAGGAAAGCATCATTAGCCAGAGACAAGTGTGAGAGGGTGGGGGATGATTTGCAGCTGTGAAATCATGGGACAATCGGAATTACCAAATGGGACTGTGGTGGGAAATACCATTCCTCTTTTATAATGTGCTCCTAAGTAATTACAAGAAAGAAGGAGCCAGTTAGAATCACCTAATTGTCAGTTTAGAATCTAATAGCTGCAGTTATATTTCCTATATAATTTTATTTGAAGTATGAGGAATATGACAATTAACATAAAATCATATGGTAATTTAGAAACAGCCTGCCAAGGATAACATTCATAACCCTAAATCAAGCTTGAAGTTTTATATAAATAAAAAAGGGAATTTGAACCAAGGAAGCCTGGAATGTTGGAAAAAGTAGAAAACCTGGGGTTTTGATTCTGGACATCACCAGCCTGCTATAGGATATTGTTGAACTAACCTATCATATGCATTTCAATGTTTCACAATTTGAGATATTATAATTAGCTTTCTTAACATAATTTCTAGCAATCAGAATATATGTCCATTGACCAAATAAAGGAAAAATTAATAATTCTATTTCCAGAAAGGCTGTCGAGTGCCACCAAGGTGTTATATTTACATTTCAGGTAGCTATCACTAGGTGGAACTAGTTTGTGCATGAGCAGATAGGCAGGTAGCCTTCTCTCACGTGGGGGTAATACAAATGTAGCCTTAATCAATCGTCTACGAATATATATATATATATATAACTTTGTTACACTAACAGCAATTTTGGGGCTATTAGATCTAATTTCGATGTATAGGTTTCACATTATTCAAAGAAATTTGATATGTTAGCTATTTTGTACAAACCATTTTTAATTTATCCCATAAATGAGCTCACTATTCAGTTGAGTTGCAGTCAAAGGCCTACAGCTAAATGCCATGCTAATAAAAAGAAGTAGAGTCCAAGGGAGTTGGGATCAGGCAAGCACATTGCTACTTAGTTGTTACTTAGCTGTAGTCAATACCTGTTGAGGTATGAGAATGGAGGAAATAGTGTTACCATATCTCCTAATTATTTTCAAAAAGCTCCTGGAAATCTAGATAATTATGTGAAAGCCACATAATGTTGGCTTCAGATTTTTCAAAAACCTGTGTGGGGACAAAAAGTCAGCAACCACAAAAAAGCCTGCATCTCCAGCAACCCTTATTTTAGTGACTCATCTAAAAGATGATAAAAGAGAAGTACATACTTGTTTCTACAGAAAGCCTAGTTTCCAAACCATTTGAGTCACAGTTTCCTCTGGAGCTAGATTTCTTGTGCTCAAATTTTGGCTTAATTGTCTATTAGCTGATAATCCTTGGGTGTTATAGATTGAATGTTTATGTTTCCCCCAAATTTGTATGTTGAAACCTAATCCCCAATGTGATGGTATTAGGAAGTGATGCCTTTAAGACGTGTTGAGGTTATGGGTTCAGAGCCCTCGTCATGAGATTAGTACTCTTATAAAAGAGACCCTGAGAAACCCCTTGCCCTTTCTGCCTTATGAGGTTATAGTGAAGCAGTCTCTTGCCAAATATGTTGGTGCCATGACCTTGGACTTTCCAGCCTCCAGAACTGTGAGAAATAAATTTGTTATTTATAAGCCACTCAGTCTAAGGTATTTTGTTATAGCAGCTAAAACAGTAAATTACTTATACTCTCTCGGTATGTGATACACAGACTCTGAGATGGCTCCCAATGACCCATGTCTCCAAGCATACACACTTTTGTGGAATCTTCTTTCCTTGAGTGTGGGCAGTGCCTGTGACTTGCTTCTAACCAACAGAATATGTCAAGGTGTTAGGCTACCACTTCTATAATTAGGTTACAAAAGACTGACTTTCCTCTTGCTGGCAGACTCTCCCCTTGCAGGCTTTGATAAAACGAATTGTCGTGCTGAGGAGGCCCACATGGCATGGAAGTGAGGGTGTCCACTGGACAACAGCCAGCTTGGAACCAAGGCCCTCACTTCAATCCCATAGGAACTGAATCTCGCCAACAACCATGTTCATGAGGTTGGAAGCAGATCCTTT